GAATGGACGAGGCATCTCGGAGATGAGATGTGGATGGGATCTTGGATGCTGGGGGGAATGGGGCCATGTAGAAATGAGAGTAGGGTGTAAAACTAGTCTTTTGGATTTTTAGTGGAAGCTCTTATAGACTTTGCTCTTACTAAATTAGGAATAGAGAATGGGAGTAGCTAAAGAGTAGGCGTCACAAGAAATAAAAACAATAAAGGATATGCTAATGATGGTAATACCATAATGGCTGAGTGCAGGTGTACATTTAAAGTATTAGGAATCAGAACACACTGTTTGTTCACATGGTAAATTCCAGCATTAAGCAAAGAGGATCAAGATATTTATATATGTACGTAGGTATGTATGTATTTTACAGACAGCGTCTTGCTTGTCACCTTGGCTGGAGCACAGTGGTGCCATCACAGCTCACTGAAACCTTGCACTCCTAGGCTCAAGGGATTCTCCTGCTTCAGCCTCCCAAGTAGCCGAGACTACAGGCACACAGCATCATGCCTGGATACTTTTTTTTTTTAATTTGTAGGTCTCTTGGTGTGGTCTCTTGGTTTTGCTACGTTGCCCAGGCTACGTGGAGAAGCTTGCATGCCGGGAATAGACATAGTTGTGCTGTCTACAGGCAATTCCAACACAACCTGGCAAGGACCCAGGAAGGGGTTCTGGTTGTACTTCCAGCAGAGTGAGCTTCAGTGTGCTGCCTCCGTCAGAACTTGCATGCTTTTTACATTTTATGAACGTTCGTGAAACAAAAAGTTTTGTTAGATGGATTTGGCACCTTACTAAATAGAGGAGGTTATTTCAGCGGGCAGAGGAGCCTTGAATCATAGAAAAGACAGAGGGACTTCTCCTAGAAGGCACTCTGCTTCTGGGGGAAACTGATTCAGGTTGGCCTCTGGGCTGCTGGAGGCAAGCAGACCTGGGGACCCTCAGCCCACCCCTAATAAACACCACGTCCTGAAGACAGTTTCAGAGCCTTTTTTCCCCACTTTTAGCCTTAGCACCTCTCCTTACTTTGTTGAAGACTCCAACAAGCACACTGAGTTGATCATACAGCACAATGAAGCGTATGTTTATGCTCGTATAATAATGCCTTCCTGCCGGGCACAGTGGCTCACACCTGTAATCCCAGCACTTTGGGAGGCCGAGGTGGGTGGATCACCTGAGTGCAGGAGTTCGAGACCAGTCTGACCAACATGGTGAAACCCCGTCTCTACTAAATGCAAGAAATCAGCCAGGCATGGGGACTCATGCCTGTAATCTCAGCTACTTGGGGGCCTGAGGCAGGAGAATTGCTTGAACCCAGAAGGTGGAAGTTGAGTGAGCCAAGACTGCACCACTGCACCCCAGCCTCGGCAACAAGAGCAAAACTCCATCTCAATAATAATAAAAATAAAGATAAAGATAATGTCTTCTGACCATAACCACACACCTTCCAGGCTGGCATCTTCCAGTTTTGCCAATAGGCAACCTCTGGGAATAAAGCTGTTAACTCACCTGGAGTTGACTGGGTCAATTTTCTAAATACATTTTGAACTAGGTTTTTGTGTTTCACATATCCTATCAATCATTTTTTAAAACACATGCTTTATTCCTGTTATTATTAAAGTTAACATGTAACAAATGTTATCAGAACGTTTTTATCATCTGTGCTGCTGTTTTAATGAATGAGCGTTTTTTTCCATCTGCATTCTTTTACCTCATGACCCTTTCCTCATAGTGAGCTACACATTCCGTGTCACTGCCACAGGAAGAAGAAAACATTCAGGAAGCAGAGAAAATAAGAGTCTATTCTCGGCGTTAGAATTTCCAAAGAAAGAGAAAAAAGTCCAGTGGACTTTGTAGAATACTTGAGGGAAAACAAAAAGCTTCCTGCCCACGGCTGGTCGCGGTGGCTCATATCTGTAATCCCAGCACTTAGGGAGGCTGCTGAGATCAGGAGTTCGAGACCAGCCTGACCTACATGGTGAAACCCCATCTTTACTAAATGCAAAAAATCAGCCGGGCATGGTGACACATGCCTGTAATCTCAGCCACTTGGAAGGCTGAGGCAGGAGAATGGCTTGAACCCAAAAGACGGAGGTTGAGTGAGCCGAGATTGTGCCATTGCACTCCAGCCTGGGTAACAAGAGTGAAAAACCTCATCTCAAAAAAGAAAAAGAAAAAAAAAGCTTCTTGCTCACCTACTCTTCCAAACATTACATGAAGTTTTCCCAAACCGAGAGAAGGGAAGAAAGTTAGAGAAAATGCAAAGAATGAGTGGCTCATGTGGATTCCCGGGAAGAAGGGGACCTGTATTCTGTACAGCCTAGGAAGGCAAGAAATGGTCGGGCGGTGGCTCAGCACGCAGGGCAGAGGCAGCCTCTCGGAGTTCATCCAAGAGTGGTAAGGGAGACGGAGAACAAATCCCCAGTACCTGAGGATTTGCTTGTGTCCATAGTGCACAAAATTAAGGCAGCCTGCTGGAGTGAAGGTCCCCAAAAAGTCCCCATTCCATTTTTCCTGCTCTAATGCGGTGCAGGAGCAGCAGAGTAACATTTCATTTTCAAGGACACCACAGTTAGTTGACAGCAAGCCAGACCTGAAGCGCCTCATGGATGAAAGTGAGGAAAGTGTGACCTTGGTACGACACCCTTGATGGAACACAGACGGACGACCAGAAGCGAACTCGGGCCAGGCCACAAGTGTCAGCATGGACAGATAAAGATCTGGACCCCACGTCCCTTTCCCCATCCATAGTCATCCATGGTGACTCCAGTGGAGAGAAAAGGGGACCCAGATTATTTCCACCGCTTGACAGAATGGAGTCTCTGAATAGAAATTAAGTTGCCTTGCACAGCTGAGTTTGTGGACCGATATTTGTACTTACTGTATTATTTTCTTATTTTCAAAAAACAATTTAACTGAAGACATCAGAATTTTGGAAACTCATTAATGTTCCTTGTTCTAGCAAGCACATTTCTTTAGAAAGGAGACTCAGCTTTAACTCGTGTGTGTGTGTGTGTGTGTGTGTGTGCGTGCGCGCGCGCGTGTGTGTGTGTGTGTGTGTGTGTGTGCATTTGGGGGATGGACTTCAGGGTGGTTTTCTCTATAAATCTTTGTGAAATTGGTTTATGAGGCCAAGCACAGTGGTTTACACCTGCAATTCTAGCACTTTGGGAGGCAGAGGCGGGCAGATCATGAGGTCAGGAGATCGAGACCATCCTGGCCAATATGGTGAAACCCCGTCTAAAAAATATTTTTTAAAAAAAGCAGAAATTAGCTGGGCATGGTGGCGCACCTTAGTTTCAGCTACTTGGACTACTTGTGGGGGCTGAGGCGGGAGAATCAATTGAGTCCCGGAGATCGAGGCTGCAGTAAGCAGCGTTCATTCCACTGTACTCCTGTGTGACAGATGGAGACCCCCATCTTTCAAAAAATGTTCATGAATTATGAATTTATATTAAATAGCTAAGCTAAATAAGTTCATCAACTGACTCCTTTCATGTATAAACTTTACACCTTCAACACAATAGTCTTTCAATAAGTGCTTGTTGAATGAATAGGAAAATAATGCACTTTAATTTCTAGGTCAGTGGTTCTCAGATTTCTCCAGCAAGGGAGCACCTGGAGCCCACCATCATTTTTGTGTGGCACTGTGAAATGGAGGGTACATCGGTGGCTCACGCCTGTAATCCCAACACTTTGGGAGGCCGAGGTGGGCGGATCATGAGGTCAAGAGATCGAGACCATCCTGGCCAACGTGGTGAAACCCCATCTCTACTAAAAATACAAAAAAATTAGCTGGGCGTGGTGGTGCGCACCTGTAGTCCCAGCTACTCGGGAGACTGAGGCAGGAGAATTGCTTGAACCCGGGAGGCAGAAGTTGCAGTGAGCTGAGGTCGTGCCACTGCACTCCAGTCTGGCGCCTGGTGACAGAGTGAGACTCTGTTTCCAAAAGAAAAAAAAAGAAATGTAGGCACGTGGAATTTCATCATATAAATGAAGAGCAGTTATACGGACAGAAATATGATCTGTTATGTGTCTGCCTGCCATACAAAAAATAATAGTCATTTTAATGGTGGATTTATCAATTTCTCCCTTGAGGTCTGTTGAATTTTCTTTTATATATTTCTTTTTTTTTTTTTTTGGAAGGGGGTTCCCCCTTTTTTCCCAGGCTGGAGTGCAATGGCGCGATCTCGGCTCACCGCAACCTCCGTCTCCTGGGTTCAGGCAATTCTCCTGCCTCAGCCTCCTGAGTAGCTGGGATTACAGGCACGTGCCACCATGCCCAGCTAATTTTTTGTATTTTTAGTAGAGACGGGTTTTCACCATGTTGACCAGGATGGTCTCGATCTCTTGACCTGGTGATCCACCCGCCTCGGCCTCCCAAAGTGCTGGGATTACAGGCTTGAGCCACCGCGCCCGGCTCTTTTATATATTTCAAGACTTTTCTACTTAAAGGCATACAAGGGTCAGGCGTGGTGGCTCACACTTGTAATCCCAGCACTTTGGGAGGCCAAGGCAGGTGGATCACTCGAGGTCAGGAGTTCAAGACCAGCCTGGCCAACATGGTGAAACCCCATCTCTACCAAAAATACAAAAATTAGCTGGGCATGCTGGCAGGCATCTTTATTCCCAGCTACTCAGGAGGCTGAGACAGGAGAACCGCTTGAACCCAGGAGGAGGAGGTTGCAGTGAGCCAAGATCTAGTCACTGCACTCCAGCATAGGTGACAGAGTGAGACTCTGTCTCAAAAAAAATATATATATAAAATAAATGAAAAAATAGGCCAAGCACGTTGGCTCATGCCTATAATTCCAGCACTTTGGGAGGCTGAGGTGGGCAGATCATTTGAAGTAAGGAGTTCAAGACCAGCCTGGCCACATGGTGAAACACCATCTCTACTAAAAGTACAAAAATCAGCTGGGTGTGGTGGTGCACGCCTGTAGTCGCAACTACTTTGGAGGCTGAGGCAGGAGAATTGCTTGCATCTGGGAGGTGGAGGTTGCAGTGAGCCAAGATAGTGCCATTGCACTCCCGCTTGAACTACGAGTGAGACTCTATCTCAAATAAATAAATAAGGCATACAAAATTTGAATTGTTGTATCTTTTTGGTGAATTTAACTTTTTATCATTAAGTTGTGGCCCTCTTTATCTGCAATAACAGTTTTTACCTTAAAGTCTTCCCCCTCGGCCCAAATTAATAGAGCTGTTTTCCTTTGGTTTATATTTGCCGAGTTTATATTTTTCTATCCCTTTACTTTCAACCATTTTGTGTGTTTAAGTATATCACCTGTAAATCTCTATTTTCTTGTTCCTTCTTTTATTTATTTATTTGTTTATTTATTATTTTTTTGAGACGGAGTTTCACTCATGTTACCCAGGCTGGAGTGCAATGGCGCGATCTCGGCTCACCGCAACCTCCGCCTCCTGGGTTCAGGCAATTCTCCTGCCTCAGCCTCCTAAGGAGCTGGGATTACAGGCACGCACCACCATGCCCAGCTAATTTTTTGTATTTTTAGTAGAGACAGGGTTTCACCATGTTGACCAGGATGGTCTCGATCTCTTGACCTCGTGATCCACCCGCCTGGACCTCCCAAAGTGCTGGGATTACAGGCTTGAGCCACTGTGCCCAGCCCTATTTATTTATGTTTTACAGACAGGGGTCTCACCAAGTTCATCAGGCTGGTCTTGAACTCTTGACCTTGTGATCCACCCCTCTCAGCCTCCCAAAGTGCTGGGATTACAGGTGTGAACCACTGCGCCCGGCCCTCCTCCTCCTTCTTTTTTAAAAGAAATCTAAGTTATTTTTAAAATTTAAAAAGTCTATTCAAATGAATATAAGACCGAGTTACTCGGTCTTTGAAGTTTAAACCAAAGAAAAATGTTCATTAAAAAATTTTTTTTGAAGTCTAAAATTTTAGAAAGTTTAAAATTCTCATTATTATTATTATTAATTTTGAAACAGAGTCTCACTCTGTTGCCCAGGTTGGAGTGCAGTGGCGTAATCTTGGCTCACTGCAACTTCTGCCTCCTGGGTTCAAGCAATTCTCCTGCCTAAGCCTCCTGAGTAGCTGGGATTACAGGTCCCTGCCCCCACATCTGGCTAATTTTGGCATTTTTAGTAGAATCAGGGTTTCATCATGTTGGCCAGGCTGGTCTTGAACTCCTGACCTCAGGTGATCTGCCCACCCCAGCCTCCCAAAGTGCTGGGATTTCCAGGTCAGAAAAATTCTCATTATTTTAAGTATGGAGTTTGGATCCATTTTCATTTGTTATTACCACTGGTATTCTTAAATTTTTATTTAAAAAATTATAGATTCAAAAGAAGTTGCAAAGGAATGACTGACCGTATTTTAAAATTTTATTTCTGCATCTTATTCTATACTTTCTATTTGCCCTCCTTCTACATGTCCTTGAAATTCATCATTTCCATTGCTCATTTACAATAGCTATCCTATGCCAACCACTACATGTGTTTCTGAATTATACGTTAAAGGGATAATGACACCGTAATTGTTTTTAATTATTTTAGGTGGCTACTATTTTGTCAGGTTCCCAGGAGGCCAAGTTTCCCCTCTAGGCTTATTTAGTCACGTAATGTCTCTCAGGACTGTGATACTAGTTTATACATAGTTGCAGATAACACTGAAGTCAAATTAATCGTCCAATGTGCATAGTTTGCCATGGAGCAGCTCAGCTCTGGAAGAAATGCTTGCACTTCATAACATTATCCAATGTGGCCACTAGAGGGAGGTCACACATAGCTATTCTCAGAATAGTATTTTAGGTTTCTGATTTTTATCAAAGATCTATCGATGGTACACAAAATTAAGAAAAAAAAATCCAAACCCTTTCTACTTTTAAGAAGACATACAAGTGCAGTCTTAAAGTAATATGGAAAGTAATGAAGTCAAAGCAGAGATTTTCAAATAGGGAAAATGAAGCAAGACTCAAGTGTATGCTGCTGTAAGAAATGCACTTTAAGTATGAAGACATACATAGGTCAAAAGTAAAAAGGTAGGCCGGGTGTGGTGGCTCATGCCTGTAGTCCCAGCCCTTGAAGAGGCCAAGACAGGAGGATTGCTTGGGGCCAGGGGTTGGAGAGCAGCCTGGGCAACCTAGTGAGGCCCCTGTCCCTATACACACACACAAAGGAATGAACTCTTTTTTGGTGGGGGGAGGGGTGTTTCTTTTAAAAATTGTGGTAAAATATACATAATATACATAAAATATTAATGATAAAATATTATGTAAAATATACACAAATTGATATTTTTTTCAATTTTTTTTTTTCTTGAGACCAGGTCTTGCTGTTGCCCAGGCTGGAATGCAGAGGTGCAGTAACAGCTCATCACGGCCTCAACCTCCTGGGCTCAAGTCAGCCTCCAACCTCAGTGTCTCATGTAACTGGGACCACAGGCATTCTCACTCTACCGGGCTGATTTGCAGTTATTTATATTTTTTGTAGAGGTGGGATCTCACTATGTTGCCTAGGCTGGTTTTGAACTCCTGGGCTCAACAATCTTCCTGCCTTGGCCTCTCAAAGTGCTGGGTTTACAGGCATCAGCAGTCATGTCTGGCTGAATTTACCACTTTAACAATTTTTTTTTTTAGATGGAGTCTCACTCAGTCGTCCAGGCTGCAGTGCAGTGGCAGGATCTCAGCTCACTGCAACCTCCGCCTCCCAGGTTCAAGCGATTCTCCAGCCTCAGTCTCCCGAGTAGCTGGGATTATAGACGTGCACCATCATGCCTGGCTAATTTTCGTATTTCAGTAGAGACAGGGTTTCACCACGTTGGCCAGGTTGATCTCGAACTCCTGGTCTCAAGTGATCTGCCCGACTCGGCCTCCCAAGTTCTGGGATTATAGCTGTGAGCCACCGCACCCCGCCCCATTTTAACAATGTTTAAGTGTACATTACAGCAGTGTTAAGTCCATTGTTGTACAATCCTCAGAACTTTTTATCTTGCAAAATTGAAATTCTGTACCCATTAAATAATTCTTTATTCCCCTATCCCTCCACCCCTGACAACCACCATTCCACTTTCTGTCTCTATAAATTTGACTTCTCTAGGTATCTCATATGAGTGGACTTATGCTGTACGTAACTTTGGGACCTGGCATAGTTCACTTACCCTATGTCCTTAAGGTTCATTCTATATGTTGTAGCCCATGTCAGAATTTCCTTCCCTTTTCAGGTCGAATGTCCCATCGTATGTCTGTACCACATTTTGTTTATTTGGACATCCGTCAGCGGACATTGTGTTGCTTCTACCTTTTGGCTGTTGTGAATAATCCTGCCTATAAATATGAGTGACAAACATCTCTTTGAGATCTTGCTTTCAATTCTTTCAGTTACATACCCAGAAGTGAAATTGCTGGATCATATAATTCTATGATCATTGATTCATCTATGATACATAGAGGAACCCTCATACTGTATCCATAGTGGCTGCACCATCACACATTCACTAACAGTGCATAAGGATTCCAGTTTCTTCACATCTTTACCAACCCTTATTATTTTCTATTTTTTTTGTTTTTTGTTTTTTTGAGACGGAGTTTCGCTCTTGTTACCCAGGCTGGAGTGCAATGGCGCGATCTCGGCTCACCGCAGCCTCCGCCTCCCGGGTTCAGGCAATTCTCCTGCCTCAGCCTCCTGAGTCGCTGGGATTACAGGCACGCGCCACCATGCCCAGCTAATTTTTTGTATTTTTAGTAGAGATGGGGTTTCACCATGTTGACCAGGATGGTCTCGATCTCTTGACCTCGTGATCCACCCGCCTCGGCCTCCCAAAGTGCTGGGATTACAGGCGTGAGCCACCGCGCCCGGCCTATTATTTTCTATTTTTCGATATAGCCATCCTAATGGGTGTCAAATAGTAGTTATATTAGTACTATCTTGTCTAATGTAAAAATTATTTCTAATTGGGATTACAGTAAATTACAAGATTAAGGAGCATTTATATTTTTATAATATTCAATATTTCTTTCCAAAAATATGGATGTCCTTGTTACGTTTATTCAGAGATTTTTTTTATAGTGCTATTTTAAATAGGATCTCTTCTTCTATTATATTTCTCCAAAGAAGTTGTTTGTACATAGAAAGACTATTTTTTTTTTTGAGATGGAGTCTTGCTCTGTTGCCAGGCTGGAATGCAGTGGTGCGATCTCGGCTCACTGCAACCTCTGCCTCCTGAGTTCAAGTGATTCCCCTGCTTCAGGCTCCTAAGTAGCTGGGACTACAGGCATGTGCCACCACGCCTGGCTAATTTTTGTATTTTTGGTAGAGACAGGGTTTCACCATATTGGCCAGGATGGTCTTGATCTCTTGACCTCGTGATCTGCCCACCTCAGCTTCCCAAAATGCTGGGATTACAGGTGTGAGCCACCGAGCCCAGCCAGAAAGTCTTTTTTTTTTAAAAAAAAAAACATTTGAATTGAGTCATGTTAAAGAAGTCTGATGTTATTGTTGCAACAGTTTTTCAATTGATTCCTTTGAGTTTTCCAGTTCAGAAATCAAATCACCTGTAAATGACCATTTTACTTCTTTATAATTTACATTCCTTGTTTTTTTCTTTTGTGTAATTGCATTGACCAATATCACCAGAATAATTT